GAAAATTATAATTTAAAAATTGATATATAACTTATACAAAAAATTTTACTGTAAAACAGAAAGTTATTATACTATAACTTGTTTAATAAATGAACTTTTTTCATATAAAGTTTTATTTATTTTAAATTTATGTTAATTAGTTATCTTAACATAAGCCAGTATTATGAAAAATATAGAACGACAGTAATCAAGACAATTTCATGGATAAGTTAATAAATACGTACATTATTGGAGTAAAATGATGCTATTTATTTTTTAACATCAAAGCCTAAGTCTATACAAAATTTCTGTACACTGTTTGAAATATTCTCTTTTAAATTTTTGTTGTGTAGGTCGAAACAGTCGTATAATTCAAAGTGTTCTTCTTTATTCTTAATATTCTTAAAATTTTGTCTAAAATTTTTGAATTTTTTTTCAAAAATATTGAAATTAAAGAGTTTCTTACTTTCATTTTCAGCAGTATTAATGTCAACTATTTCTTCAATATTTCCAATTTTTGATTGCCACTCTATTAATTTTTTTAAAGCTGTAAGAACGGGCGTTGAGTGATTGAAAAATTTTAATGCTTTTATCATACAAGTTATCAATGGATTGAAAGTAATAGTAGCTCTATTAAAATTATTCAGGTGTTTAATTATATCATTATCAAAATCAATATTTTTATTTTTATTTAGAATATCTTCAATTTCCTTTCTCGCTAATTTATCACAATATTAATCTTTAGCTTTGTTAAATCTATCTTTCAATCCTACATAATGACTAATACTCTCTTGACAATTATCAAAATTTTCAACAATGTTGTAGTAGATTGAACTCAGTATCATTGAATCATCTTTCATTTTTTTCTCTAAATTATTACTGGTTACTATCTCTGTATCGTCATTATTTGGTCTAAATAGACGGTATGTACTATTTATTTCATCGATATTATTATTCTTTTTATTATAACAATAACTNATTTAATTTCAATGATATTACACATGATTACGTTTGGATCTAGAACTATTCGGCCTTGTCCTGTTTACAATATATGGATAGTGGGCAACATACAAATATAGTATAGATATTATAATAAACATTAGTGTTAATGACATAGAACTGTTTAAAAACTAATAAAATGCCGAATTGGTGAAAACATATGTAGATAATCGTGGAACGATTATTTATAATTAGACGTGACGAAGTCGAGCAAAACAATAAGTTTCTATATGATTTATATGATTAATAATGTATTAATAATTGCTAATTGTTCAAAAGTGTTGTAACCCCTTAAACACATCTTTAACTGCCTAGGGACACAGGAATCTCATAAAATTAATAGATGCATTAAACATTTTCATTAGAATACTAATTATATAGTATTTTGTGGGATTAAAATATGGTTACCTGCATGAGTCATTTCTATTTTCTCTCTAGTAATCAACTAAAATTATTTTAAAGGAAAGTCCTTCTGTAAAAACAAAAATTATTTCTTTTAAAGAGTCATATTTCTAAATTTTTTAAAAATATTTTGGGACATTATTCAAATACACTTTATTTAAGTATGGTAGCATTTAAGTTCATTATTCTTTAATTAAAAAATACTTTTGAACTCATTTTTTAGATAAACCAGCTCAGTAAAATTTCAACTAGTGTATAAACATTTTTTTATGTTAATCATAACTATTCGATTGTGCTGATTCCACATATAATTTTACCTAAAATATAACTATTTTTAAAAATAAAAAATAATTTTACTTCTTAAAATAAACCAAATAGAAAATAATTGAAAATAATAATAAATGAATAATTTAAATTGATGGTAAAAATTAATATTAAAAAAACGGTAGAACAGAGGGGTCGAGGCACAGTGTTGATGAGGCGTAGATGGGACAAGTATAGATGATATCTGACAGTGATTAAAATCACTGTCGTAAGAAACGCTTCGATGCAAATCTGTGGATAGTGTTTCATTTAGAGAAATTGGTGGATTATTTCAAAAGCAAACCTTTATTTTTATTTAGAATATATTTTTTCTATACTCGCTAATTTTACATGATTTTATCTTGCTGCTATGTTGAATCTAACATAATTACTAAAATACCATTCTCAAATATCAAGTTTTGTAACGATGATGTTATAGTATGAATTCAATATCATTGAACCATTTCTGATATTTTTTCTAAATTTTTACTAGTTATTTCTGTATTGCCATCATCGGGTTAAAAAAGAATGTATTTTTAATTTTTGATTGCCTCTCTTTTAATTTATATAGAGCAATAAGAACAGGGAGTTGTGTGATTGAAATATTTTAGTGCATTACTCATACAAGTTAGCAATGGGTTAGTAGTATTAATAAAACTATTGAAAAAGTTTAATTTTTCAATAATTATATGATCATTCTATTGATGATTTGAAATGTTTCAACAATGTTATAGTAGATTAAACTTAGTACCATTAAACAATACTTTTTTTTTTTATGTAAATTTATATAGTCATAATATTCATAGTCTTTGGTTAGTTCAATCCAATATATTATATATATTTTTAAATTATGTTATATTCATATTTTAACGTTTTGATATATGCAACATGCTCATATCTTACAAAGTGAACAAAATATTTGTTTATACTTATGTAATTTAAGTAATAAAATATAATTTTTTCTATTATTGAGGAACACATACTTAATAGTGAAAATAAGAATTGCTGTGAAACGATGACTTAAAAATGTATTAAAATATTTTGCAAAATTTTAACTAATGACTTCATTAATAGAAGAGGTATTTACATATTTATTCATATTTCAGGTTAGTGAAGAGATTGACGAGAATGACAAGGAGAAACTTGACGAGTGGCTAAGTGGTTGAGAGATTCAATAACAATATAAATGTAGATAGTCCATTAATTTCCATATAAGAGGCAGATTTTACAATAAACACCGATATAGATGACAATAATCTGCTTAGAATGTTACGATACAAAAATTACGATTTGAATTTTTATATAGTATAAATTAATTTGTGTCTAGGAAATTTATTTTTAAGTATATGCAAAACACATACAACATTGTAATCATTATGTAATTAAGTAAATAGGAGTTGATGTTTTTTTTAGAATAATTCAACAGTTCATTTAATTATTGAGTTTAATAGATTTNATTCAACAGTTCATTTAATTATTGAATTTAATAGATTTATTAAAATCACTGTCGTAAGAAACGCTTCGATGCAAATCTGTGGATAGTGTTTCATTTAGAGAAATTGGTGGATTATTTCAAAAGCAACATCCACTCTTATTTCTTTGATTATATCCTGATTTGTAGGTCTTTATATATAAAATATTATATATGAATAAATACTAATTATAATTATTAAATTCATTATATAATTGATATTCAGTAATTTAATATTGTAATTTATACGGATAAATTATAAAAAAAATGAAAAAGTTATATTTTGCTTTACATTTACGTGTAAAAGCGTCAGATTGAATTTGAGCCGTGCAAATAGAATATCCCTATAATAAACGTGTATTTTCGTAAAAATTGTAATTTTAATAATTTCATTGGTTTTATCAGTTCAATCAACTTAATCAGCTTAAAAGTTGTAAAAATTAGATGTAATTAAAACTAATGATTCGTTAAAATTAAGTTTAAATAAAGTTTTTAATAAACATAATATATTGTATATTGTAAATATATATATTTTCAATATATTAAGCAGGAAAAAATGATTGAAGAAATAATAAAAATCCTAGAAAAAAAACAAAAAAATTCAGTGTTGTGATATTTAAATAGCACTCAACCATTACTGTATCAATTTTTGGCCTTGAATTTTTGTACATGACCTTATAAGGATATAATAAAAAAAAATTATTAAAAAAAAAAATGTTTATTAGTTGATTTAAAAATGGTACTTTTGGCCGGCTAAATCAGCCTTTGGTCCCATTGTGTGGTGGTGAGGGTGCCAGTGGAAACGATTTGGTGAACATTTTACGCATAATAATAATAATAAATTTACTGTATATTATTGTTTTTTTTTATACGCAAACAGTTCTGTAGGTTGAAGTACCCATTGGAGCCATCCGGACCCTGTGCGCCTATCGCATCGTCTCCGGAGTGGAGGCAAGAGTCCTGGCTTCTCTGCCGCCCACGGACCTGCTGGCCGTCGAACGCGCCAACGGACACGAGCTCCGGAAAAGAACCGGTCAACCGCTTCGCGCGGAGGACCGGCTGCAGCTCCGGAACATCACCGTGTCCAACTGGCGCCGACGACTGGCCGAGGAAGAATCCGCGCCGACATGCCATCACTGTCGGGATTGGCCGGGAGAAGCGGATAATGCATCGCATACGCTCTTCCTGTGCGAGGCGTGGGCCAGCGAGCGGGAAGAGTTGGAGTCTCACTCGGGGTCCGCGTTCGGCGTCGAGTTCATGATGAGACCTGATTCTGAGAAGCCAGGAGGGGTGGTCTCTAGTTCAGGCGATCGCCGAATCGGTGATGAGCCAAAAAGAGGAGGCCGAACGCCTGTGGCAGAGACTGCCAAGGGTAGGATGACCTGCGGCGCTACTGGCGCCGTAGGTATTTTATGTGTTTTATGTATTGTGTTGTGAATTATTTGGCCAACCCACGCGAAGTCCTGCCCCCACCTGCACGCAGTGAAACCTGGGCAACGGATCCCTGAGTGAATCAGCCCGAAGTTAATCAAGAGCTGATTCACAACGTGGTGGTGTGATTTATAGACGGCGTGGGCCGCCCTGAAGTAATGCCTAACGGCAGTTCCAGGGCGGCCCACAATCATTCAGGCGGTAGTAAAAAAAGAAAAAGGGTTTACTGTGTACGATGGGGTTGCACTTTTTTCCGTTAACACTTTCTCCCAATAATCATATTATACAGAAAAAAACATATTAATTAGATGAATGGTAATCTTTCTTTTTTTTATGGTTAGAAATCTATCATTGAAATTTATTGTTATTTTTTATTATTAGTCATATGGGCAACCGCTTTAGTAGGAACCGGGTGGCGAACAAAATTCTTATGTACCAACCAATAGCTCTAGCTCCCAAGGTTTTATTTTATTATTTAATAGAGTTCATGTAAAATATAATTAAAATACTTATGCTTATTTATATTTGTGTTAAAAACATTAAATAATATGTTATTGTGCTCATAGTTGTTAAAAAAGTACCTATCATTTTGCTTGGTATCAAATATCTTTTAATTAAAATTTAAAATACAATAGGTGAGATAATTTATAGAAAATATTTTATTTTTAACAATAAGGTAAATTATCTTAAACTTCTTCTACCACCTCTTCTACCACCTCTTATACCACCTCTTCTAGCAACTTGTAGCGGATACTTTAGTCGTGGGACATTAACTGTCAATTCTAAAAATAGTTATAACAATAAATATAAGTTAATAAATGTTCAAATATACTTACTTTCTTGTTGTACTTTTTCCCGATGTTCTTTTATTTCATTCCCAAGAAGATTACAAATATTAGTAATAAAGTTATCCAAAGCTAGACAAAGAGTTTTGGTTCTAACACAAGTTAGACAAATAGGACACAAAGGCCTTTTTGAAACATGAGTATCTAAACAAACTTCACAAAATGTATGGTTGCAATTAGTTGTACACGCCTAAAAAAAAAAAACAAATTTACATATTAAATTTTATATAAAATATTCATTTTCACAATTTATGGCTAAATTTTATTTATTTCCCAATGATAATGAGATAATTAAAATCATTTTTTTAATCTAATTTATGGATGCGTAAAATTCAAGTTTTCTTGAACTAACATTTTGATATAAAATATGTTTTATTTAAACTTCAAACCCAAATTCTAAAATAAAATAATTTTGTTGGTATAATTATGAAGTATGTGATTTTTTTTTCAGTCTCTTAGAAGCTAATTTATCAAAAATAAATTTTAAAACTCATTGAAATTTTGGATAAAATAGTTACTAAATTATAAAATAATAATATATATCAATGACATAGTAATATTTTTCATTTTACTTAAATTGCATTTTATTTTTATAAACAAATTTACTTTAAAATGTCACACGTCATGGTAAAGTAATGTAAATGTAAGTAAATGAAGTAATTGTAAAATCGTTTTTTATCTTTGAAGATTGAGCAAATTTTATTTTAAATTGAAAATTTGTGTCTTCATATGTTTAGAAATCATATTAATTGTTAGTTAAAAATAAAAATATGTACATTTACCTAAAGAAAAGCATTTTAAATTACTTTACTAGATTTTACTATATGAATTTTAAAATTGATTTTTAAACACATTTATTTACTTTTTCAACTAATAAAAAAGAAATTTTCACCAGAAATAATTTTTTTAGTTAAAATATTTTAGCTTTACTTTTCAGAAATTTTATTTACAATTCTAGGATTAGAAAGTTCAAAAAGTTTTCAGATCTCTAATATCACTTTATAATATTTAACAATCTTAAAATTGATTAAAAAGTATTCCATAATGCATTTTTTAACCAAAGTAAGATAATAAATTTGCTAAGAACTTTTAACATGATGACGTGTTATATTTACGCTATTAATGGATTTAAATGTAAAAATAATACCTTAACCATTAATTCATTACAAATTGGACATAATAAATCACTTTCTAGAACACTATAGACTTTTGCTTTGATCGTTTCTTCAATTTTTGATATTTGATCTAGAAAAATAATTCAAACAAAAAAATTAACTTCTCAAAAAAAAAAGATAATAATTAATGTATGTTGAAGCTATTAAATGACTTAACAAAGTTTAACTTAAAAATTTTTATAGAAAATAGAATTACAAATGATAATAATTTGATAATTACCTCTTTTTAATGTAATTTAACATTATTCTTAATGCAATTGAAAGTTTAGGAAAAATAAGATAAATTAATTTTTTCAAAAATGTCTTAAATCCATAGGTGTTTTTTTTTAATTAATATTTTTTCTTATCAATATATTTAATAAAAGAAATAAGATTTATTTATTTTTAAAACGTGATGAAGATATTTCTAAAATATTTATAAAAATCAATTAAGACATTGCATTATAAATTATATTTTTCTTAGAGATTTTAATTATAATTGTTATAATATAAAAAAATGTAAAGTTTTATAAACAAAAATGTATGTTTATATGTAACTGCTTTTGATAATTAGTTAATAATCAATGACCATATGGACATGATATTGTTACCAATGTTTCTAATGTTCAATTTAATACAATAGTAATATATAAGCCCAAAATTAATTTATACCCCATTACGTGAACTCCATCCAAAAAATAAATAAATGGAGTTCATAGGTTATTCACTTATATATTTTATACAGGTAAACAAGTCCAGATTAAGACACAGTATATTTCATGTTACTTACTAAGAATATCATGCGACTTTGCTTAAACAGGTGTAAAATTAAATAAAGTAAGTTAATAACAATATATATACTTATATAATCACCTTGCTGTATTTTTAAAGTATTTTCGTAATCTAAATTCTTTTTTGCTAATTCATTATTGGCGAGTTTATGCTGCGGAAAACAATTTTTTCAATATAATTTAATACAAAAATATAGGTTAATAAAACATGATTTTAGAACTAATTTAAAAACTAATACATTCTATATATATATATTTTTAATTATAGTAAATGTTAATAAAAAAAAATTATTATTGTGTGAAAATAATACAATATGTATTAACCTGTGGTTAAGTTATTTTTACTTAAAATATATTTACTTTTAGAAGTGTTTTCTTCAATTTTTTAACTTTTTTTGATGCTTGATTAATTATTTCATTAAATTTATCAAATTTAGCATTTAGAAAACGCTCCATTGATGCTTTTTCACTTTTCAGCTAAAATAAATCAACTAATAATTAAAAAATTGGATTTAAATAAGTGATACGGTCACATTTT